AGCTGGATTTCGCCCATTTTCGCCTCTATTTTCTCCAGTATTCTGATCTGAACGTAATTAAATTCTAGTTAACAACATTTTGCGACCCAATTCAACCCAGTGAACTAAATAAACAACCTCAAATGTGCGTTAAATCCTCCTATCCCCAACCTTGCATCAGATTGCAATTTAATGTAATAAATGCGTTGAGCACCGGGTAGTGCAACTTGATCCCCTTGCATCACATACTTATGCGTGTTGACAGAAAAGCGATACATTCAGCCACACCAGAGTTACGCGCTGTCTGAGGTTAGAGACAACGCGGTGATGACTGGTAGATGGGTGCTCACCTATTGGTACGGAAATTACTCGTTCTCTTATGCCCTAGGACTCGCTCTCGAGCCCAGCCAGCAGCCGTTTAACAACTAGCACATTAAATGCAGAAAGATATTACCGACAAAGATAAGGGGCACTGGAATGGCCATTTCTGGCTTATTTGCCGTTATCAGCCAGTCATACCTAATCCCAGGGTTAGCCGCTCCCGGGCTCGAACCCGCGACCTTGTTAGTTAGAAGTCCAACGCTCTAACCACTGCGCCAAGGGCTCGTTGCCTTGCCGGTTTCGATCGAGAATATAGACAATGGTAGATGGGCGCTCACCGATCGCTACTGAAGTCACTCGTTCCATGATGACTGCATATTAACCCGAAGTGGGAGTTGGAGCCCTAACCGACTCGCTCCCATGCCGTGCTATCGATCCGCCTATACGCCATGTGCGTGGTAATATCGTGCATACTGCCGGCAGGATTAGTGCTCTTCCCAACCATTGGGATGAGCCAAAGGGTCAGTCGGCATGGTAGCCCCCCGAGGACAATATCAGATTGGTCCGATAGCAGTTCGACCTTGTACAAACTCGCATGTTCCTCTTTGGCCTAAAATGCGCCGTAACAATATGTCAATACACGTCTATTCCTCCGCTCTTGCACTTATGGGGATTCGGTTGAAAAGTGCGACCATCGAGGCTTGTAGGAGTTTCATAACATAGGACCCCTGGCTTTTCTAGTCAAATTTTTTAACTTGAAAAGAGGTTACATAAAATCTGAAAGGGGGATACTTAACATGGGGTCACTGTAGACTCAGAATCTACTCGTTCCCATCTTTAGCCATTGCTATATGCTACTAGCATTGACATAAACGAATAGAAGTAGGTTGTTCACCTACAATGAACGTCCAGAAAAACTGGTGGCAATTTGTCAGGTTTTGAAAAGTGTGGTTTTCACCGAAGTAAAAAAGGATCTATGAGAAAGTTAGAAATACATCAGCTTCAGGAGAAA